GGTTTGGGATTTTCATTCTTGATTTTTTCATTATGTGAGCAGATTGGTGTTAGATATGATAGCTGGGAGGAGATCTTGCAGCCACTAAAGCCCATTACCGGTGTGAATGTGAAGACTTATTCACATCATTCTATTTTTGGTTGAAAGGGTGGATTCTCAAGTAGTTATGTTGCCTCTACTTCACTAGTCTCTACTTCACATGCTTCTACATCACCGGGTCAGAATTCTAGTTATAATACTCAGTCACAGCTTATAGAAAGGATATTGAATAATGTTATTTATACCAATGAAAAAGTGGCAAATTTAGAGCATTTAGTGGCAAATTTAGAGCATTTTAAAGTGGCAAATTTAGAGCATTTTGCTGAGCATGCGGATGGCTATATGAGAAGAAGAAGTGATTATTAGGAGGAATACAACACAGTTATGGAGCATCTCAATAGAGGTAACCAAGATGTAGGTTTTCCTCAGTACCCTAGCTATCCATCATATGAGCCTACAACTACTTGGTGTAGTGATGATAGTGATGAGGAAGATGATGCTTAGTTGGATTTGTAGTTTTGTTTTCTATTTTATGTTATTTTCAGTTTACGTATTGTGGATTTTGCATGTATTTTGCACTTATTGTTTTCAGTTGAGATTGTTGAAATTGTTAGTTTTAGTTGTTGTGTTTTGTAGACATTTATGTGATGTATTTGTACTTTTGTGTAGTTAGTATGATTGTGTGGTAATAATTATGTTAATTGTGTTTTTTGGTGTATTTAGTTAGTGTTTGTTGAACTTAATTCAAAATCTTAGAAAAGTTTAAAATTTAACTAACTTTTTACTTAAGAGCTACATGTTAAAAAAAATTCAACTTATTACCAGTTATTTTTCCTTATGTTGCAATTGTGTTTGTTTGTCAGTGTGCTTATTTGTTTTTCAGTTATACTCCACTGCATAGAACTCTAATGGATCTCTTTATATTAAGTAGAATTTAAAATTTGATCAATTTAATATCTACTCCTATTTTTAATTTTTATACTTGCATATTTATAATATAAAAATTCCTGCAAACATGTTATAGTTAGTTTTCATTCCTGCTTATTTATATATGATGCTAAAATGTTTTATTTCTATTAAAAATTTAAGTTGGTGGGGGGGATGAAAAATTTTTCTAAAAAGAACTTAAAAGTTTTTTAAATAAATTTGATTTTGACTTGAAAAATGATTATGTATATGAAGTTTTATTAGGGAAGTAAAATTTTTATTTTAGAAATGAGTAAGAAAATTTAGTTAGAATTTATAGTAATGAAGAAAAACTTAAAGTTAAGAATTTTTAGTGTAAAAAATGATAAATATAGTGTAACTATCCTTAGTAAGAAAAATTTTATTTTTGAAAAATTTATAAATTTAGACTTTTATTTTTAATACTTAAATTTCTTTTATTAAAAATAATTTAAAAGGAGAAGTTTAATTCAAAACCATTAAAAGCCTATCTAGATATAGTAATTCTTGCCTGAAAAAGAAAAAGAAAAAAAAAGAAAAAAGAAAAAGAAAAAGAAAAAGTAAAGAAAAAGAGAAGATTGGTGCCTAACAAAAAATTGGTTCCACATTTGATCTTTTTAAAGTATAAGATTTGGGAAACTCTTAAGCTTAAAAATATAATATAGTAAGTAAAATTATTCTTAATAAAATTTTTTAAATGAAAATAATAAAAAGGTTAAATTTTATATTTGGAAAATCTACAATATTTCTGAATTAGATAGGAGCTCATATTTTCATATTTCTTAACATTAAAAATTTCTAAACTTTAAGTTGGTCTCATTTACTTATATTTTTTCTAAATTGAACTACTATATTTCTAAATCTAAATTTTAGCAACTCCTAAAGAAACTCATATGCATTATCTACTTATGTTGGTTTTTAAAGATTGAAAGGTTACTTGAGGAGGACAAGTAACATCTTAAGTTTGGGGGATTTTGATACACCTAAAATATATAGTATTTTTGTACAGATTTTTATATATATTTTTGAACTTTTGTGCTTTAATGAAAGGTATTTGTGTGTTTTTCTTGTAGGCACAATCAAATGGATGGAAAATGCTAAAAGGAGTAAGAAATGGTCAAGTTTGGAGTAAAAATGAAGAAATGTGCAAAAATGAACTAGGGCACCTAAGCGTCAGAGCATCCGCGCCTAAGCGCCACCTAGTTCGCGCTTAAGCGCCAAAGTTAGTTACTTGAAGAAATATTAATTGGAGCAAAATTTTGAAGAGGTGTTTGAAGCAACCCTTGATAAAAATATAGGAAATAGCCCTTGGACAATAGGAAATAACCCTTGGACACGAAAATTCATTCAATTGGTTTTGAAGGAGAACTTCTAGAAGATTCATTGAATGGAGATAACTTTTTGAAGAGACACCAAGGCACCCCTTGGATTTTTATAAGAAAAGATTTGGATTTTCCAAAAGAAGAGCCAGTAACCAACCACCAAAATTTACAACCACCGCCATCGACGATCACCTTTACTTTATTTTATTTTATTTTGAGTGTTATTTTGTATTGTGAGAGAAGGAAGAGAATTCAAAGGAACTTCAAGACATTTCGTGCAAAGAATTTGAGATAAGTGTTTATCTTTGAGACTACACTCGATTTTTAATTTAGATTTCTTATTTGTGTGCATGATTTCTACTTTTAAACTCATGTGTGATTATGTTTCCTCCATGGATTCTGAGTAGTTTTCTTTATCTTTTTCCTTAAAATGATAAGTGATTAAATGTTTAAAGGAAGTTGTGTGAAGTATTAGATTTCAATTTTGGAAGAATTTGTGATGATTCAAGACCTTGTACTTCATTTACTTCTTGATTTAGCCAATTAAGATGTTAAAACCTGTTGTGAGAACATGTAAGATTCGAGATGGCATTGTCTCAGTCAACAAATGGTTGAAATTGCATATTGATTTCATGAATAAGAATGTATTTCATGAGATTGAGTGCAAATAAATAGGGAAATATATTTTCAAGGGTATAGAATTAGAGGACTTTAGAGTGACAAGCTAAAGCCCCCAATTTGATTTATAGTTTTAGGTTTTGATACGAAATGTTAGCCCCAAGGTGGAGGGAGAAGATGGAACTCTAGAGTGAGTGCTAGTATCTTCTTTGTCTAGTCGGTCTTCAAGACTATTCAAATTATAGATTAACCAATGTTCCTTATAGAATCTCTAGTAAGGGTAAAGAATATTATTGCTCCTATTTTGCACAACACATTTAGCATACTTCCACAACTGAATTTCTATGTTTATCACTGATTCATGATAAGGAGAAAGATATTTTACTAATATTGCCTTCGTCTTGCAATTATTTTAGTTAAGTTAATTAGTTGTTTACTTTATTTTAAGTTATCAAAATTTACAAAAAGAATCGAACTTTTGTTCCTATTATAGCATCTTAATTTTGAGTAAGAATATATATTACTACGTATTTTGTTATCTAAAACTAATCCTTCCTGTGGGTTCAATATTCGAGACTTAATCAAAAAGTTCTATATTACTTGATAATGATATATATACTTGCGTAGTATCCCATATTGAAATGTTATAAATATAATCGCATACATCACATTTTACATCTCTGTATATAAAAAGAAAAGTCAGGATCACCCACCACCTCTTCAACCGACTGACCGACCACCAACCTTCTTCAACCAACCATTAGGAGGGCTACCAAACACTCGACTGTCAAGTCACCGACCAAAAGGCTATGGAGCAACAGGTTCGGACACTCCAAAAAACCAGAATGCCCTATGTGATCCCTTTTAAGCAGAGACAGTGTTCTGATTTTATTTATTTTCCTCATATCATCTTTAAATAGGATGACTCTTTCATGTTTTGGGATCTCTTTTTGGATTTCTTTCAACGTAACTCTCTCATTCGACAAAAAAAAGGGAGCCCAGGAATGAATGCCCCATTTTGGCCCTCAGGGTCAAGTCCCTCTACACTCTCTATCACACTCTCTCTCTCTCCACACTTTCCCTCTCTCTCTCTCTCTCTCTCTCTCTTTGTTTCTCCATTCTGGTTCCTAATGCTTTATTCCTTGTGTGTGACCCACGGACAAATCTAAATCCAACATATCCATTTTAGTTTATGCCCTTCCTGCTACCAGAATCTTTCTTCACATGGCTTCAATATTGTTTCATTAATTCATGGTCACAATCCACTGCCCTATTTGAAAACTATATTCATCAATTTTTGCCAAAAAAAAATCTTTCAACGTCATCATATCAAATTTTTGTGTAGGATGAACCACTCAATGTCTATTTATTTACATCAATTTCTATTTATTTACATATCTAATACTTAAATTTTGAGTTTTACATACACACATGCACACAGATATGTAATTTTATTTGTGTATAAAAGTATATATTTCACTCTTTAAAAGTCAAAAATTGATATTTTTATGTGATGTGAATGATTTAGGTTGTATAAATGTAAAAGGTAAAATTTGTTAGATATGTAAATACATAGGAATTAGGTGATATCTATATAAATGCCCCCATTTATATTTAAAATATTTACCCAATGAGCCCAACTAATGAACTCATATATATATATATATATATATATATATAGGTGCTCTCTCTCCTTCCTCTTACGAGAATCTCTTTCTCAGCTGGCAATGCTTATGGTTCTCCATTTCAGGTCAGATTCGGCTCTTCTATTTAAAAAACAGCATCCCCTGATTCAAGCCAATAAAATATTGCATTAACATCTCAAAATGTTGTAAAGAAAGAAACAAGATCATTCGGCACTGGCAAACTTTTTATTTAGGGCATTTACATATGCACACCACATTACTATGTATTTACATATCTAACACCTAAAATTTGCATTTTATAACACCCATTTAATAGCCAAACAAATAACTTATATTTGGTCTCCCACCACTACGAAGTTGTTCGGCAGTTCACCTACACTATATATATATATATATATATATAATATATCACTAACTACAGAATCAAACTCAAACTTACTCATTTCCCCTATCATGACCGTATCATCTCCCTTGTTCACCTTCTTCTTCCTCCTCTTCTTCTTGTTCTTCTCTTCTACAACTTCTTCATATAACATATTAGACTTTGGAGCAAAAGAAGGAGGAAAAGAAGACTGTGTGGAAGCCATTACTGAAGCTTGGAGAATGGCCTGCAACTCATCTTCTCCATCAAACATTTATGTTCCTCATGGATTATTCCTTATAAGCAAAGTAAAACTCTATGGTCCTTGCAGAAACAAGAAGATGAAGTTCAAGATTAATGGAACCCTAATGGCTCCTTTGGGTTACACTGAGTCAAGCGAGTGGATCGCTTTTGATTCTGTTGAGGGAATTTTGATCAGTGGAGGAGTTCTTGATGGAAGAGGCTCGAGTTTGTGGGATTGTAAGCTGACTTCTGCTAAGCAATGTCCTCGCGGCGCGACGGTATGATGATTTTTCATTTGTTTCTTTTATTTTTTAATTAGGAAGATGTACATGTGTACCATATAATTCCTATTGTCTCATGTATCTAATACTTTGATGTGTTGTGAAAATTTTGGAGAGTATAAATGTAAAATGTGAACTTTAGGTGTTAGATATGCAAATACATACGAATTTAGAGGTGTGTGCGGTTGTATCGGTAATTAGAGTTAGAAAGATGTGTTGCTCGCCAACTGTGGGTACTATAATTCACCTACGCCAACTCATGAGCCAGGTTAGGCTATAAGTAACACCTGAACTAGACTCTTCAACTGCTGGGCTAGTTTATTTAAAAAATAATTAATAGAGAACATATTGATAGTATATTAGTATTAAAAATTTAATTTTTAGATTATTAAAAATATTTTAAAAATAACATTTTACATTACATATCAAGTAATTTCTCATTACTTATATCCTGAATTTTTATTCAAATTTTCATTTTATCATGGCACTACTTAGAATAAATATTGATTTCCCTCTTTTATAATAAGCAAGTCAAATCGTAAGCTCGTACAATTAAGATTGAGCTCGAGTTCAAATTTGATTATTTAATCAAACTCGAGCTCAAAACAAGCATTGCTCGAGTTTGACTCAACTCGTATACACCCCTATTCTAGCCTCATAATCAATTGGAGCTCGATTTGCTCTCATTTGTGCTTCTAAATATGAACCAGCCCCTATTTGATCGTGTTTTGTTGATAAGATAATGATGTATGCTTATTTTATCTAATAAAATAAATGTTTGATTAAATCACAGTCGTTGACGTTCACAAATTCTAGAAACATCCGGATCAAACGACTCACATCCATCGACAGCGAGCTGTTTCACATCGTCATAATTCGTTGCTGTAATATGAACTTATATGGGCTTAACCTAATTGCGCCCAAATGGAGCCCAAATACAGACGGAATTCACGTGCAAATGTCCACGAAAGTTAGAATTAAGAAAACCAGAATCGAAACAGGTGATGATTGCATTTCAGTTGGGCCAAAAACTTCGTCTCTTTGGGTTGAAAGTGTAGTTTGTGGGCCCGGCCACGGAATCAGGTAATGCTTCACAATCTCACGACTCAGATACCTGTTTGGCACGAATATTGCAAAAGAAACACAACGTTTGATCATTGGTAATGTAAATAAATATATTGTGATATTAGTATACTAAATTTTTTTGAAACAATACACAAATTTAAATCTCATTTTTAACCTATAGATTCTATTAAATAAATTACTATTTTTATATCATATATTTAAATTTTTAGCACCCCTTTTCATCCATTCTTTTCAAATTTTCAATCAAATATCAAATTTTATGATAGAACATTGGCTCTTTTTTTTTTAATTTTATTAAATTCTTAATGGTTTCATTGTGACATGTCAATAGTTTTAAAAAAAAAACAGTGTTGATTTTGTAAATAATAATATTTTTAGTGCTAATTATGAAAATAATAGTTGATTTCATCTATTCCTCACAAAAATTTCTAATTTTAACTTTTTTTGGAAATATTTTCCACTCTTTATGAACTTTTACTATTTGGCTTAAAGTACATACAATTTTATGTATATAAATATAAAATTTCACAATACTTATTTGATTATTTATTTATTTATTTTTGTCTGAAAGTATTGGGAGTTTGGGAAAAGCTGAAGGTTTGAAAGAGGAAGGAGTGCAGAATGTGACAGTACAGAAAATTGTATTTTGGGGATCTGATAATGGATTAAGAATAAAGACATGGGGATCAAATATTCGAGGCTACGTTAAAGGAGTTATTTTCAAGCATGTGGTGATGAATAATGTAAGGAATCCCATAATCATTGATCAAAATTATTGCCCCCATAATCAAAATTGTCCCCGAAAGGTAAGATTTCTCTCTCATGCATTACAACCATTCTCATGTATTTACACATCTAAAATTTAGGCTTTACCTTTTTACATTTATGCCATCCAAATCTTTTATATCTAACACTATGCTAACTTTTAAAAAGTGAAGCACACCTTTTCAAATAAAGGTAAGGTAGCATATAGGGAAAAACTGACGTATTGGCACTAGATATGTAAATGCATAGGAATTGAGTGGTATATGCGTAAATCTTGCGTTTAATTTTTTTTTAATATCTTCAGAAGAATTTACGTCCATGCCACTATTGTTATGCATTTGCATATTCTTTGATATTTAATTTTATTGAGTTCTGGATTGATTTTTATGAACACGCCTTGGGAGTTACAATCGGACGAAGAAGGAAAGAGAAAGAGAGAATATAATAAGTCAAAAATTCACTCTAGAGAGAAGAGGAGAGGGATCCCTTTATTTGTTTTTTTGGCTATTATTTATAGGGTTGTATTTGTACAATTACAGATAAGAAGAAATAATTATGGAAATTATACTTAATACAATTGATACCCAAATTAATCTTATAGATTATATACCATATCGGTATTACAATTTGAATTCTAATATTGAGTCAACTGGCTGGTGATCCCGGTTGAATATAGTTGTGTAAAATTTATAAAGTTGACTCCGCTTTACAACGGTGTCAAAAACTTGATGTGGTATTTTAGTAATAATAACGTTAAGCTCTTAAAATTGGGATTCTAAGTAAGTATACGTATCGTTATCAAGTAATATAAGGCTTTCTGTTTAAGTCCCAAATATCGATCCCACGGGGAATGTTTAAATTTGAAATGATAAATTAACTAGGAAATTTACAGAAATTAAACGAAATTACTGTCGCTAATTTCGAATGTTAAAGATACTATCAAAACTAAATTATTTACTACTAACAGAATTTAAAAGCAGGTTTTAAAATTAATAACTACTAAACTATGTTTATGTGATGAAGTTTTCTATGAAAAAAAACATATTTCCCACTACAATGAGTTTTTTGGTGAAATGGGATAAGATAAATAGTTTAAATATGTATTGTGCCAAATATAAGCAATTTTAATTCTCTACCCTGATTCAGTGTTAAAGAAAATCATTGGCTAATCTTAGGTTTAGTCCCTAAATCTGTGGCTAGGCTAGGAGAATACTGGCTCCCACTCCAGAGCTCCCACTTCCCTTCTGCTGAAGGCTAACTCTCGCTTTAGTTTTCAAACACTAAGATCAAATTGAGGATTATATTCTGTCACTCTAAAAATCTCCAATTCTACACCCAACAAAGTACATTTCCCCTATTTATTTGCACTTAATTCCATAAACAAAATGGATTAAGGTCGAGCCCTGTGATCGAACTCTTGCAATTATTTTCTGCATGCCTGACAAGTCTTCCTCATATCCAACTACCTGACTTTCACAACATATTTTAACAATTCAATTGTCCAGATCGAAAAGTAAATTAAAAGCGTAGTTGAAAAAACATCACAATTTATTTTAAAATTTAACATTGGCACATCCACATTATCTCTTCATTTCACCATATCTCAGAGTAGGGAGAAAGATAAAGGAAACTACTCAGACTTCATGAGAAAGATACAGCAAAACACAAATTTCATATACAAAAAAAAATTCATACAACAATATGAAACAAACAACACTTATCTGAAACTCTTTTTCAAAGTAAATCATTTATAGTCTCTCTTAGAAAATATAGGAAGAAGAAATCTCTCACTTCTCTTCCTCTCCAACACTTCTTAGAGAAGAATTCACACTTAAACTCACCACAAAAGCTCAAAACTATAAAAATAATAACTAACTAATGGTGTGGAACTGCGTGGAATGTAGGTGTGTGAAGAGAAAAATTGAATTGAGGGGAAGATGTTGAAATTGTGCGAAACGGGGGGGGGTGTTGCTGTACGAAAAAACTCTTCAAAAAGCATCCAAATTCATCGAATCTTCTAGAAACAGGGCTTCCACCGACATAAGCGCCGTCGGCGCCCATCCTAGCGTCGTCGGTGCCAGTGCTCCGCTAATTAATTTCCAAGTCTCTGTCCAATGGCGTCGTCGGCGCTGACTCTTGTTCTGCATCCTTTCTATAGGTTTGCGCCGTCCGACGTCCTTCTGGCGCCGTCGGCGCTGAGTAATTCTTCCAAATCTCCCTTTTTGCTCCAAATTTCATCATTTTTTTTTCTTTTTTGCTTCCCTTTTGCTTCAAGTCCCAAATAAAACAACCTGCAAGTAAACATAAAACATACCTTCTTTTAAAGTGCAATATCACCAAAAATGAGTATAAAATATAGGTCTAAAAATGCATATATTTTTGGTGCATCAACTGGTTGGCCTAATTGAATTCAGTCGACTAAGGCGACTAGTTGAGTGGCGACCACACCTTACGAAGTAAATGTCGATCGACCGAGGACCTCGATTAAATGGAGATCAAGCCCGCCATTGTAAAAGTGGGTCGGGTGACTAACTTGTGATCAAAGGATATTTCATGCTTATTAATCGATTGGGACTACAGGCGTGGTCCACCGACTGTATCTTTCACAATAGTGTGTCGATCGATTTTGATCATGTGATCGCTTGTTGGATGGTTGAAAACCTTGATTGTCTGACCGTCATCTAGACCATTCAATTTTCTTGAGATTCATGCTAACATTTTTGTTGTATACACATTTATTTCCCAAATTTTTTTGTTCCTTAAAAGCGATAGCTACTATAGGGACATAAATTATTAGCGTTCAATGGTATTAAAATCAATAAAATTAATTCAAACTCCCCTTGGATTCTGGTCCAAATACATTATTTCTTCCTGGATAATTGAGTTGCACCATGGCTAATTGTTTGAGCTGGACCACTTTGGACCCCAAAATTCTAGTGAAAGTAGGCTATGGACCTCTGACTTCTGTAGAGTTTGATAAGAGTTAAGAAAAGGAAACAATTGAAGTCTAAACTTGTGCTGACTAATCAGGTTTACTCATCTAAGGATCCAGAGGAACAAGCACCGAGAGTCGCTCGGCAGGAGACCGTGGCCCGTGAGCCCAATCAAGGTGTGTACTCTGAGGGCCAGCAAGCCCTGCTTGTTGAAGATACCAAGGAGGGTTGAAGGAGGTCGGATGAAGAGGACATCGACATCTTTCCTCAGCTGGCACCGCCGGAAATTGGAGGTGTCTCGGAATGAGGGGGAGAGAACCCTTTCCATACCTTTTATTTGATGAATAGGTTTATGGATACGTAAAACTTATTTATTTATTTATTTGTCATCTTGATGCAGATGATTCTGTTGGTTTGGAAGAATGCTTGGACGGAGGACCTTCGAATGATGTCTCTGAGTCGGCCCTCAATGTCGTGGTCGACCCTCATAGAGTGGTTGTCGTACCTTCAACCTTGACCAGTGAAGGGGAGTGTTTGCAGACTAGCCATTAGTCTTCCTTTGGTTCCATTATATTGGCTTCTCAACATGTTCCATATGAGCTTCATTCTAAGTTTGTGGGATTTCATTCGGACATGGTTGGTCCCTCTATAGAGACGGTCTGAGGGTCAGTCGTAGGTCTCGTGTGGGAGTTACAAGCTCCTCCAACAAACTTGGGCTCGGAGGTAGCGGTCTTAAGAGTGGAGGTCACCATTTTAAAAAACGGGCTAAAAGAGGTGTTGTGCGAGCTAGAAGCATTTCACGAGTTGACTAACCTAAGAAAGTTATACCGCAAGGCTGATTGACTGGAGCAGATTAGGATAGGAGAAATGATGATTCTCCAAGGCTAACTCAGAAGGGATATCGATCTCGATATTCTTTTTTATATGTAGAATTTAAGAAGTTGATACCACTACTTGAAGATTTTAATCCCCAGTAATGATACTAAAAACTTGATCCCAAGCAAAGTAAGATTTCAATTATATTTCTAGGGATTCTATGCAAGTATATGTATCGTTATCAAGTAATATATGGCTTTCTAATTAAGCTTTGAATAACGATCCTACGGAGATCGAGGTTAATCATGGCGACTTTCAACATAAATTCTGGTTTAGAATAGCACGCCCTAGCTTGGAAGGTCCATAAAAGTTTGGTTTTGATTTTATCCTACAATTATCACTACAATACTACGTCTACTTCTAAATTAAAATACTTAGTGAAAATTAGAATGTGGGGTTTTTAATATATTAAAAGTACTCTTCCTCATGCAATGAAAGTAGTGACATGTGTAAAAGTAAAATAAGTAGTGAGAGAGATTGTGACAATTAGGAGCAATTATATTATTTACCCTTACTAGAGATTTTATAAAGAACATTGGTTAATCTAAAGTTTGAATAGTTTTGAAGACGGGCTAGGCAGGGAAGATACTAGCTCTCACTCTAGAGTTCCCTCTTATCCCTCCACCTGGAGGCTAACATCTTGCGTTAAAACCTAAAACAATAGACCAAATTAAGGGCTTTAGCCTGTCACTCTAAAGTCCTCTAATTCTACACCTTTTAAAGATTATTTTTTTATTTATTTGCACTTAACTATATAGATTATATTCTCATCCATACAATCTCATATGATTCTACCACAGTTGATTAAGACAATATCATCTCGGATCTTACATGTTCTCATAACATATTTTAACATGCAAGTTGATCAAGTTTACATAAAAATAAAGAAAAAAGTAAAATCATCACAATATATTCTCGCTCTACTGGATTCAATATCCTACAAATGCATACTAATTCATTAACAAGAGGGAAGAGTAAAGAAAACTACTCACTACACATGGAGAAACAACAAGAACTTTTCATTGAACAAGAATTTGAAAACATACAAATAAAGTACTAAATTTAAAGTACTAAATTCAAATTAAATTCAAATCAAAATACAATGAAAATACTTATCTCTGATAGAAATCAAACTCTCCTTGTATAACAAATGCAATCTTCTTACAATCCTCTCCAAAAATAAAGTGAAAAGAAAAGAAGAAATATCTCACTCTCTCTCTCTTTCTCTCTCA